AGTCAAATTGGTCTAGAACCGCCACTGTTCACAAGAGCAATAACATGCAGCTCTTGCTCGCATGTTTGAAGTTATTCGTTAAAATGGCTTAATCTCTTTTGTTTGGGTGCTTACAGTCAGTGGGAGGTTTCCATTGAGAGATGAAGAGGAGGAGGTGGGAGTGCAGTCTCTCACCTCCTCTGCAGTGAGCTCCTCTCGTCATCTCCTGCAGGCACAGTATGGCTGCAGCGGAATCCCGTGATGTCACCCAGTTGCCGTGGTTACGCTGTTGACGTAGAAAAAGGAGAGGGGGCGTAACCTCGGAAAAGTACCACGTGCTCCGTATATATAAAGTGGCTGGCTCGCAGTGTGGGCAGCGTCAGTTGAGAGTGGAGCGCGCGGATTGTCCGTTTTTAGAGGTTGTGACACTGTGATAACTGACGACTAAGGGACCTTACAGGAAATACTACTGTCTGTTTTTATTCTTTGTATTGGATATTTCTATATCATCACAATCATGGCGGTGACTGAAGCTGGATGTGATCTAACTTACTGCAAAATGAGGGGGATTGTTACTGTTCTCACCGGTGAGCAACAACAATATGACAATCCATCACTGAAGCTTATCATGTATTGATATGAGACGCGAACTAAGAGTATGTATTCATATGTGTGTTCATTTGTGAGCCATATGGCTGTCACCTAATAGCGAAGAGCATTTTTGTTTGACTTTAAGGTACAAATGTAATTGGAAGTTCACAATAAATCTTTCTTAAAATATCAAAACGCACTATATGCGTTGTATTTAGAATCAAGGATGGAAAATGCTTTGTTGGCAGTCACTATTGGTGTCCGGATGAGTGACCTGAAGTGGTTGCATAACCTATAAGCCCGCAGCATTAGAGGTCCATGACCAGCACGCAGATCTACCCCGTAACAGGGTATTTGGAACTGCAGAAATAGAGGATTAAATCTCAACACTTTTTTTTTTTTTTTCTCTAATGGAAATAACATTTAAATCTTGTGTGATGTGTGATACTGACATCAAGTGTTTCCCTTCTGTTTTCCTGTGTAGCCTTCATCAAGGAGAGAAAAATGGGGTTGAATGACTTCATCCAGAAGCTGGTGTCTACCCCACATATCTGCCAACAGTGAGTATTCCCATTCAAAATATGTTCCACAAGAGGGGAAATATGCTAGAATTGGTCGCAAATCTGGTCTGCTGTCCTTAAATATTATTTTATACTGAAATATTTTAGATGTTTTGAAAAAGATATACAAAATTAATAACGGGGCAAGGATGAGAACATCAAAATGACCTAGTTAGAGCTGCCTTTTTACACCTCTGATATCATAGCCCAGGCTTCTTAAAAATGGGTGTTTGTTAAGAGGGAACTCTATGATATTATTCGCATTATGGCATTCTCTGAAACAGAAAAAACATCACACAGTGTGCTGTAAAAGCATGATATGATCTCATCCAGATAACCCTTAAATTATTGGAGGATCCTTTTGTTGCTGCAGGCGTTATTTTGTTTGTTGTAGTTGGAGTGTATGGTGTGGTGTATTTATATCCTATTTCTGAAATAAATAGAAAAGGTGGGCTTAAATTGAGGCAAAATTAGAATCCCTAGGTCAGTTCCTGTCTCTGGTATTTATTTCTCAATCATTAGCCCAATCACGGCAGCCTGCACTTGCCAATCCAATCATCCACCCTATATTGGCAGGACATCCTGTGAAAAGCGTAATCTGGGTCCAAGGAGGCAGCAGGTGTAAGAATAGTCCTTTATGACGAGTCTGTTAACAACCTCTCCACTGCTGCTGCCTAATCACCAGCAAATCCCCTATGTTCCGTAGACAAGGATAAACCGGTTATTCAGTTATAACATGATACAAGGTGCGCACTCCCAGGGTGGGGTCTGCTGCTGTGGAAATATAATAAATGAAAACATTTGCACTAGGCTACATGTGTCCCCTTCTAGAATGAAAGGGCTGATACAGAATGCTGAGTCCTGCAGAGCCGTCTCCTGTCTGTCGGGTCAGGGGTTTAAGGTGTTTCTCAGACAGGTTAGACTGCATGCAGATGAGCGTGGCCTAAGCTTGACCTTTCAGTGTCAGACTGTCATTCACACCACAGCAGCAGGGAGCCTTCTTTCAGCTTTTCAGTCACACCAACTACCTTAGATCTGGGGGTTTGACTTGCAAAACTAAATTATAATGTCATTTATTTTGAGTAATTCAATCTAAAAAAATAAGAAAACCATTTACACTGAGTGATATTGTAAAATGTCAATAGCTGATATCAAATGTAATGTATGACTCTATGTTGTTTCTTTCAGTGTTGAAGTTAACAACTTCCTGAAGATTGATGAGAATCAAAACGAGCAGGATGACGGAGATGAACTTCCTGATAGTTCGGTAAGCAGGAAGTGTTTTCTGACTATTTATCTCATTTTCTTTTCAAGATGTGGCAACGCATTTATAACCATTCTCCTTTTTATTCCTCTTACAGATGTACCTAACTTCACGAAGTTCACTGGCTGAGGAAACTCAGTAAGTAGCCTTATAAATATCATTTCAATGTGAAGAATTTTGTAAAACATGCACACCTCACTGTGTGTCAATACAAATCCTAATCCTCTGTTTGCTTCTCTTCAATAGGATCAAACCTTGTGATTTTGACTACCTCAAAATCATCGGAAAAGGAAGCTTTGGAAAGGTGAGTCAGTCAGTGTTCTCTTTGATGTGTCGAAACTTATTTTATGATGTCTATCACCGCCTGCTGCCCCACGGTCCCTGACGCAAATGTTTGATCTGTAACAGGTTCTGTTGGCTCGACACAAGGAGTCCTCAAATTATTACGCTGTTAAAGTGCTACAGAAGAAAATCATCATGAAGAAGAAAGAGGTGTGTATTCATAGCATATCTTGAACAAAGAATCTACGGAACAAGACATATATTTCATCACGTAATATGTCATTTTGTGGAAAGCACAAGGGAAGATTTTTTTGTATTGATTTGAAGTATTTCAATGTAATACTAAGGTATTATTCTAAATGTATTAAGAGCTTAAGTTACAAGTTACTTAGATAAAGAACTGTAAAATAAAACGAGATCATTTAAATATGAAACTGCTATTTTAAATATTCAACAGTACATAACTAGTGTCAAATTGTGCTAAAGTTGTCACATTAAAATGCTGCTTACACATTGAAGCTTCAGTAATAATATATCAATAATATGATAAATAACCACTCTTGAAGCTCTATGAGAATTTGTAAAACTGTTGCGCTTTTACTTAATTATGATTTTATAACAAATGTTTCTTCCACACTGATTGTGATGAACACAGCATTATATCAACTTCTTTATCTTCCTTCCAGCAAAAGCATATCATGGCAGAGCGCAGCGTGTTGATGAAGAACATCAAGCACCCCTTCCTGGTGGGGCTGCACTTCTCCTTCCAGACTACTGACAAACTGTACTTTGTCCTCGACTACGTCAACGGTGGCGAGGTCAGTGATAATCTCAAAACACCCATAAATCAGGACAGAATATCAGAGTATTTTGGTGATGCTGACAGGCTTCTGTTTTCTCTTCCAGCTGTTCTACCATCTCCAGAGGGAGAGGATCTTCCTGGAGCCCAGAGCCAGGTTCTATGCTGCTGAAATTGCAAGTGCACTTGGCTACCTCCACTCCCTGCACATTGTGTACAGGTAATGAGCGATCCTAAAGCGCCCCCTAGTGGACATCTGTCAACAAAATCTATGCTGAACTGAACTAACCTTGAAGTTAAAAACAAATGATTCTGCTTGTTCACAGGGACCTGAAGCCTGAGAACATCCTGTTGGACTCCCAGGGCCACATCGTCCTCACAGACTTCGGCCTCTGCAAAGAAGGCCTTGAGAACAACGGCACTACAACAACCTTCTGCGGGACACCAGAGGTACAAAACTAATCTCTAGGCTTTTTAGTGCATCCTAAACTTCACCAAATTCTAATTGTCGATCACGGTTTAACGCTTTTTTTCCTTTTTGCTCTCCACTTCAGTACTTGGCTCCTGAGGTTCTCCAGAAGCAGGCGTACGACCGCACAGTGGACTGGTGGTGTCTGGGATCAGTGCTCTACGAGATGCTCTATGGACTTGTAAGTGAAACCTATGACTTTATGCTTCTTAATGCAACTCTGTAGTACGCATGAGCCAATAAGAATGTTTCAGGTCACGATTATCCAAATAAATGTGAGCCAAAATAATCATAACTCATAAGTTCCCCTTTGCAAGCAACTTTGTGTGAGTGAATGATAACAGGCTCTATTTTTTACTTCCCTACAATGAATTCCAGCTAGACATTGTTTTTTAAAGTCACTCATTTGAGGTCATTTACTATTGTAAATTCACCACAATCAACTAAATATTGGTGTTTTATTATTACAATACAAGATAAAATTCTATATTCTTCCATCTCTACTTGACTGCTTATTCATATATTAAAGCAAACTTAATGTCTTGTCCCTTTTGCTTTCCAGCCCCCGTTCTACAGCCGGAACACGGCTGAGATGTACAACAACATCCTGCACAAGTCTCCCGTGCTGAAGCCCAACGTGTCTAACTCCGGCAGGGAGCTGCTGGAGGGGCTGCTGCAGAAGGACCGCACCAAGAGGCTGGGAGTGAAGGATGACTTTGTGAGTAACATAACATCATTAACATAACTAAAAAACCATATGAAGCTATTTGAAGCCACTTTTTCTATCTGTAGGCACTTTCACACCGGAGTACTTTGCCCAGAGTATTTCCGATAGTTCTTGCGTTCACACCAAAAAAATCCGGAACTAGAACTTAGTTCATGAGAACCTTTTCACCCCCTTTTTAGTGCCTGCTAGAGAGCAGGCACTTTCATGGGAGAAAAATGTTCCCATTTCTGATTGGCTGGGCGAATTGCAAACCACGCCCCGTAAAACTCTGAAAAGTTTTGTGAAGCCGCCATTGTATTTGCTGGCATCCGTAGCCGTGGGAACATGTTTCAAATGGGGGGTGCTGTGGGGATGACACCAGGGCCGGTTCTGACCAATTTACTGCCCTAGGCAAGACCTTTCCTGGCGCAGCCTGAAAAACGTACAGTAGAAAAGATAAAGGTCGAAACGTATTGACATGGTGACAGCTTATATAAAAAGGCATCAAATGTATTTAGTATTGTATCAAAATGTTTTAATTGAGGGGTGGACATCACATCCTCTCGGGGGGTCCGGGGGTATGCACCCGCCGGGAAGATTTTCTTAAAAAGTAAAATGCTTCAATTTGGAGCACTTTGAGCAGAATTACTAGAGACTAGATCTAGGGGTTACAACTCTAAACACCCATTTGAAAAAGATAGGTTTACATTTTAATAACCAAATAAGTACGTGAACATAACCAATAACCTACCAAAGCCAATAACAAATAAATGTAAGGTACTTTATTTTTGTTGTTCATTCATATCTTATTTGACCTAGTTAACATTGATTTATTTATCCATATTTTTGAATCTCTCCAGTTTTAAAGGATATTTTTTGGTTACTGTCCTATAGTATACATTGGAATGATTTCAAACCTGTTTTTATTTATCTTAATAATTATAAAGGTGTGCCATGGAAATATTTGTTTACATAAATTGTGATAAAACCGTTTGAGACCCACTGAGATAACTTAGACTAAAGAGAACTATCTAACTCTCAGGGCAAATGGAAAATGTAACCGGGGTGAAAAGGGTGTTAGCTTTACTTAATTATGAATGTGAACATCAAGTTATCTAAATTGTCTTGTCTCCTCCAGCTTGAGCTCAAGCACCATTCCTTCTTCTCTCCAATCAACTGGGACGACCTGATGGCCAAGAAGATCACACCTCCATTCATCCCCTCAGTGGTGAGTTCAGATGAGTGTAGTTCAGCAGCTGTATGTTTTATATTCTATTAATCACTACCACAACAAAACATATAAAAATGGCTACAATTTACTAAAGGCCTATGGGACATTGTTTGAATTATTTATTTTTTTAAACATATCAACCATTATATACTGCTGCAAGTACTTACACAATTACTCTTGTGATTAATACTTTTGTCTAATAAAATGTAGTGTTTCATATGAGATATATATTTAATTTTTTTTTTTTTGTTCTTTACTGTGAATGTTTTACAGATAATAAAGCGATTTTAATAATAATAATAACAATTCTTAAAGGGCTGCTATATGTTTGCAAAAAGGAAGCCTCCATCTTCCCATCACTACCAATTAAAAAAATACAGCAGTGTAATCCATAACAGCAACATTTATTACTGTTTTGACATTTTACCTTTTTTATTTTATAACTAAATCATGTCCTCCCTGCTTGGTTTCACAGAGCGGCCCCACAGACCTCCGTCACTTCGATCCCGAGTTCACCCACATGCCCGTCCCCGCCTCTCTGTGCAACGACTCGCTGATGGTGACCAGCAGCGTGAAGGAAGCAGCCGGAGCTTTCCCAGGCTTCTCCTATGGTGCTCCGTCAGGGCAAGCCTTCATGTAAACGGCAAAATCTCTGCCCTTCTTCCCCGAGAACTCAACAGACATGGGACACACGCTCTGGTTCACAGGGTCCACACCCAGAGCAGCCTGCTTTGGTTGGGTGGCGTTACGGAGCTCACAATGGACAGGAGCGGAAGATTTCGAGGGATCTTGTGCATGACAATTGTACAGATGGGGAGTCTCATTTTACATCCTTACTCTTCCGCCTCAACCACCCAAAACTATGAAACATGCGTGCCAAGTATGGATGCACTACGAGGTAAAAAAAACATCACTCTCACAGCTTCTGGTGAGGTGACATGAAGAGAAGTGCCTGAGGTTCGAAAGGCAGTTTAAACGGTTGCAGCAGCAGAGTTGGCAAGAGCCAGCTTCATCAAAAGAATTCAAAAACATTTCACTTGTTTGGACCAGGGCGAAAGCCGTTAAGGTGTAGGGCCTTCATTACATGTCTATATGTTTGTTTTTGTTACATTGTTATTTTCATGTGAATGCTCAATTGCACTTGAGGAAACAAAGGTCAGGAAAAGTGTGGACATTGTTTGCTTCAAACATCAGAAGCTTTTAGACTAGACCGCTTCATATCTTTACACTTTTATTTCTGCTTTGGACAAAAAACAGATTGGATTTTTTATTATTTTATTTTATTTTATAGTGGACCAAAATATGCTTCAACTCAAACACTTTTGTCTTGACCTGTTTGTCCTCAGAAACCGAAGATCAACGTTTTACTGTACTGTGTGGAAGATAAAAAGTTACATATATTATATTGCAAACCAAAAGGGTTTCCATGTTTAAATACCAACACACATCCAATATTTACTTTCAAGAGAGATTTTAAGAAGCACATATATTATAAAATAATTATTACTGTTTCCTGGTATATGTATATGGCTGTATATTTTATTTTTACAATTACTTTTCAATTTTCAACCAGTGTCTGTGTTAATCTATATCATCTGTTTATGAACGATCAGGAGCATGCGTACAGAGTTCAACCAGCAATAACAGGCCCACATCGATGATAGCACATACTGTATATCAAACTCCTTTAAATATAAGTGATTTGCTGTTTTTTTGCAAACACTTGGGACGAACAATGTTTTTATATTCAAGCATTATGTAGAGAAGAACTGTGAATGTCTTGTGCCTGTCCAAGGCGGCCTGATCCATAGTTACTGTATGTACATATCTATTTTCCCTAATCCTCTGGCTCCCTTTTCGAGAAATCATCAGTATAAAAAGTCCTTTGTTAACTTGAAGAAATATCCATTAGGTGTAGCAGCCGTGGCTACAAGCTAACAGTGATTAGCCACCGGCCTGCTGCATATAAGGTTGTGGAAAGTGCAATAAAATCAAGAATAATGATAATTTAATCTCTTTTGGCACTGTAAATTGTCATTTATGATCTGATATTCATTCAGTTATTAAAGGTGGGGTCTGTAATTTTGGAGAAACCAGCTCGAGTGCTGCTAGAATCATGGATGTGTAATAAGAACTAGAATTTGAAAATACACAACCGGAAAAAATCTGCCCCTTCCTTCAGACTTCCTTTACAGAGCCCCTCCTCCAACACACACGAACGCAGCGCACATGACCAATGAGGGCACGAGATAAATTTGTGCACAGATGGAAGGCTGACAGGCAGGTAGGCCATCCAGTTATTTTAGCCGGGCCGGCTCAGATGATTGGTCGTACTTTTTACAGTATTACGGCTTCCACAGATGACATTTTTTAATGTATTTTTTGTCAAAGCATTTAATATATCCATTGCTATCGGGATGTTAAGAGAATTCCATAGAATACAACAAGAAGTGTTTCTGAAATAAATTACATACCCCACCTTTAAGCGAGGATGTTCTCTAAAACGGATTGCTCATGTTTTGCTTGTTTAATCTTCACGTTAGCCATTTGCATACTGGAAGTGGATTTTCAAGCCTGCTGCAAATAAATAATAAGGCGACACACAGTTCTAGATAATTTTCTTCCATATTTGGAAGCATTACTTTTTCTGTTTTGTATTTGTATGTATATTTATTTTCACCCACTGCTACTGTAGTATAAAAGAAGAAACATTGACGTGATCAACTGAAATATTGAATTGTGTAATGTGTCAGAAATGGCAAATAAATTCTCTAAATTCAATGAAAGTGTCCTGTTATTGTTTTGAAATTCTATTGATGCTACTTTTCACAATCATTTCATCAGGACCAATAGCTTTATTTCATTACCGGGTAATCTGCTGTATATATTCATTAAGTGATCAATTGATTGATCTATCAAATATAAGAAAGAATCAGAACTTTCAAGTGGAATATATTAATACCACAGTGTAAAAAATAATCTGTTACAAGTAAAAGTCTTGCCTTCAAAATGCTATGGATTGGAAGTGAGAAAACAAAAGTATAAGCAACAAAACAAACTTTGGAGATAGTAAAAGTAGGCTATTTGTTGTGCAGAATGGAAAATATGTATTGGATTATAATTATAAACACATTGATGTTCATTACCTAAATGTTTCAGCAGGGAAATGGTGGGACCAACAACTTCCAAGTGTGATTCCTGGTTTACAAATATTATATTTTGACCTAAATCAAATATTCTATTATTTTCAAAAGCT